AATCTTACTTTTTCATATTACCCCCCCCCCTGCCCGCTTATCACAGATCTGGAAAGTTTTTGTCGTTTTTTTAAACTTAGTCGTAGTTAACTTTCTACTGAAATCGACTAGAATTTAACTTGAGTTTTAACATACCTTTAAAGAAGCAGGTTTGTTTGTTTGTTTATTTGTAATTAAGCACAAAGCTAAGCAATGGGCTATCTGCCCACCACGGGTATCGAAACCCGGATTCTAGCGTTGTAAGTCTGCAGACATACCGCTGTGCCACTGGGGGGCAAAGAAGCAGGTAAAAAGAAAAATGGAACGAAAATCTACCTTAATATTCATTTCTATCAAAATACTTGAGATAACGTGATCTAGACACTTAGGGTCGGGACAATGGACATATTTGTAAATGATAGTTTGTTTGAGAAAATAGCAATATTCTGAAACCAGTAAGGGCAACAAATTTACGAACAAGGAGATATTCACTTAATCACTAAAGCTGACAACTGAAGTGTTCATGTGTTTCAATTACAGGCACATTATGGTTACGCATAAAACAGTAAAAATTTCTCGCCGTGTCGTTTGTCGCAAAAACTACGACAATCTTCAGTTTAAAGTTTCTATACCAGTAGTATTTTATTGAAGTACGTCGCCGGTCAGACTTCAATTTTACGTAGCAAATTGGGCTGTTCGTTGGGGGTGGTTTTACTGAAAGGTCACTACATATGCAACCTTGAAAAAAGGAAACTGTATATTAGCCAGACATGACTCATTTGTGGCATGCTTTCAAAAATTTGTGACATTACAATACCTCTTCATACTGTACTGGAGTTATCGGGAAATGGCTTATAGTAAGCACAAGAAAGCTTACAAAGCTCTTACTTTGTTTCTCATAATGATCCAAAGTGAACCCATTGCCCCCCCCCCCACGATACTGTACTGGAGTTATCGGGAAATGGCTTATAGTAAGCACAAGAAAGCTTACAAAGCTCTTACTTTGTTTCTCATAATGATCCAAAGTGAACCCATTGCCCCCCCCCCCCACGGTGGCTCAGCGGTAAGTGTCAGTGTTTATAACGATATAAAATGGGTTTTAATACCTGCACTGAGCAGAAAACCCCAAAAAGGGCCATTGTGTAACTTTGAGATTAACAAAGAACAAGCACACCTTTAATTATAAAATATATATAACGATTTCATTAGCAAATTTAATAATTATTTTGATCAACTTTGCACTGATGTGGCATTAAACGTTTGATTTTCTCTCGTAAAAAAGAAAGTAAACTATTACGTACATTTTACACACGTTATACACACAATACGGGTATTAATACGGAATGCCAAAGTTACAGCCGCAGAGTATCATGTACTCATTTTCTCTAAACAGAGTAATATATTTTTCCCCAAAAGCTATACTTTTAGTTACTTTATGAAGATTCTGTAAACATGTCCAGTGTACATTATATTTTTGTGGCAGCATGATGATTTCTTATCTTATTCTGCTAGTGAATCAATTCAGGTTATTGAATGTGTCTTGATCATTAGGTCATTTTTCTGCGTAATTACAAACAGAACATAAGTCAACCAGCGGGAACCAATTTTAACAACGGTTTAACAAAAAAGTCACGACCGTCAGTCTACGCGGGGATTCAGGTAGCAAGCTTATAATACTGGGTGTAGAATGAAACTCTGTTGTTTAAAACTATCTAATTTTGATATGCACTTCAGTCTACTCATACGTTAAAACTAAATAAAACACTCAAATGCATTAAATGAAAAAAAATATGTTACAAATAGATTTTTTCACAAATAAAAATATTTCACTTTGGAGTACATCTATACCTATTGCACTTCGCATAAGACAAATTTATTGTTGTTTAGATTTTCTTGCATGTATACTCAAATGATAGGTCCAAATTCTTCAATTATGTTGTTCATCTTTTTCGCAATTAGCTATGAAAAGTACCTACTTAACCAGGGAAAAAAGACAGTTGGTGATAACACTCGGCGAAGCGTATGTGTACTTTGTTAAATGTAACAAGTCTCATGCCATTTACTACAGGCCAATGGGTGTAGAAAAAAAATCCAAAAGAGGTACATGGCATATTGGGAAACTTTTCCAAGAGATTTATTATCATCACTGAATACTACGCCAGGAAAAGGTTAGGCTTCAGAAGAGAGATACATAGGTCAAGGTGAACTCTGCTTACTATCAGGATAATATTCTGGACCCGTCGTACGACTCAGAAATACCAGCTTTATGTGGGAACGAGGTAGACCAACAGGGTATGGATCCAAGAAGATAAAGTTTTCAGTCACATCTCCCCCTTTTCCATACGAAAACATACCGGTAAAGTCGAGGGGTGTGCGATCGGACTTTTGAAATTTGCGCTGGAAAACCATTGTCTCTATACACTATATGGATTATAGAAAGTATGCAGGGAAGAGTTCTATCATTACATCGGAGCCTTTTGCCATGAAAAATACGCTGCAAGACCATTTTAAAATGCACAGTCGTCAGATAAAGCATGACTTGGCGCAGCGACATGAAATGTAACGAAGTGGTGAGACTCCAAAACATTTTAATAAAATGCATTCAACCTTTGTATATAAATAGGTAGGAAGAAACTCCTTTGTTTATGGATAACCAATAAAGGGTTATGAGAGTGCAAATATGTAGACAAGTTAGCAATAGAAGAGGATAGAACTTGACTAATTGTTTATATAATTTCACTGTTCGTACGAACTACTTGATCTAAAATTTTAATTTTCAAACCTCCCAAGTTCTTTTCAGTTCTTGGCCAACAGATACTTTAGTCTCCAGTGTTTTAGCACAACTACATCCTCATACAGGTTTCTTCTTCCTTGGGAGAGAAATATTAATAACTCCAGCAAGATGATTATTCCGCCCCAAGCGAAATGATTATATTTCTTCTGTATAGTCCGAAACTCTCCACTTACTCAAGGTCAAATGAAATTTCCTACTCTCAAACCCGAACTAGGAATTAACATGAAATTGCATCTTTCTTCTCTGTCTAATATTCACATGAAGATTGCGTGAACGAAACATCTTTCTTTGAGCCTTTGAAACTATTTGTGAAATAATGTGCAACTAGCGAAATCATTCTTTAACATTTCTTTAAACACTAAATTGACTTTCGAATTTTTACTTTCCTTTCAGTTTTTGCATGCAAATTTTGGAAATAAGTAAAACACTGAGTTAAAGGACAAACTTTGCTTATAATGTTTCATTCTGCGGTTGATTTTTGCATAACCCTGTAGAGAAATATACCAAGGAAATCCATCTATTTACATAATATATTGATTTATTTTAGTTTGTCTGAGAGACAGACAGAACTCTTTTTATCCGTTAAATAATATAGCTTATCATTTGTCAAACACAGTTTTAAATCGTCTAAATAAGGCCGGCTTTGTTTTAAATATCGTTCTTCCGGTGCTACTATATCATTTCTGACACGCAACGTATTTGGTACCTGTAGACCAGTAATTACAACAAACCTGTTATATAAACTACGGTCCACATAATTAGCTCTCTAGAAAGAAGATATATAACTATTAGAAGATATTGTCGCCCTATAATCTTGAAGAGGAAGTTTTTTGTTTTTGTTTTTATAAATCATATCCAGATCGTTTCTCTAGCCTAAAGTCTCGATCTTTCGTGTCGGATGTGTATGTAATATCAGCAGTGTAATGATGATGTTTTTCCATAATGACATATCTGTGGAGATTAAAGATATAGAGAAAATAAAATATGGGGTAATGTACTATAATAAATGAGATTTAAATACAAAACATTTTCACACGTCTAGAAAAAAGAATCTTGTAGTTTTGATAAGGGTTTATTTCGTTTTGTTTCATATATTCGCGCAAATCTACACGAGGGCTAACTGCACTAGCTGTTTCAGAATTTTGAACTCTATGTGTGTTTACAGAACGAGAACTACGGACCTTCGGTGCCACAGTCCAGCACGCTAATCACTAGTATTTTCGCACAGCAAAAAAACAACAAAAAACATTCACACATTGTGCAATAATATATCGGAAAAGAAAGGTGATTCAGTGATGAATAATCAGGAACAAAAACAAGCTGAATATATATGTGTGTGTGTGTGTGATGTTTTGCACTTATCGTAAAGGTAAGACTAGTCTATAATTTGTATTGTTAATGTTATGGTAAACGTCCACTTCACTTCTGTATAGCTTCGATGTTATTTCACTTACGCGTATATTTTTTTCTCGTTAATTACTTATGAAAAGAACATCAACAAGGATTATTTCTATGTGAATAAATCCAACGAAACTGAATCATAATAACGTAACTTATATAAGAATGTGTGCAAAATATGAAGTTGAAAAAACCCAAAATTTTGCAAATATTTATGTAAATTATAACTCTGTAAGTAGTAAACTCAGTATTTGAAAACCTACATCTACTATCAATAACCTAAACTGTATAATTGATTGGAAGCTGTTCAGATACTTAACAGATTATTGTTGTATTGCCTGTTTAACACCATATTTCAAAACTGATCAATTCTATCAGTATTAAAGTACAAGAAAATTGTGAACATTTTATTAATACCCAGGGCATAATACAAATTTTATGATTTAAAACACCTTTCCTGAAGACCTACCTTCTCAGATGGATAAAGGACATGACAATCATGCAGCTCCTTCTCACTGACTTTACAAAGCTCATATCATTAATGTTTCTGAGCCCAAATTACATACTTTCCAAATTATCTTTGTGCAATGTAAAAAAATACAAAATGTTCCACAGACATTCATAAACCTTTTACAAACAAATACATTTCCATCTTTAATGTAAGCTCCATAAGTTATTCTTTTATTACTGTATTATTCCTATACCCCCAAACAAAAGTAAATTACTGAATAACGTACAGAAAAACAGATACAATCGATTATATTGAATTGTTTTTATTTTATTTCATCGGAGTATGAAAATTACACAATATGTTTTGTATAATACTTACGTTATGGAGTTTGAAGTAAAGTCCACAGGCGTTGCACACTGGTTCTCCATTTTGGTTCCGTCGCCACAGTGTCGTCGTTGACGTCTTGCAATTGGAACAGCTCGTTCCTGCTCTTCTAGCCGCCGACTAGAAACGATAGAAAACCAAGTTGATCATGATGGGATAGAATTGTCATGTTATTAATAGAAAAGCACAGTCATGTTAAAAACAAAGGCAGAGAAAATGGCATATTTCTGATCCTTCACCCCCTCTATCTTCTATTTCTTTAACTGCTTTACAGCCAATACGTTACTCCAAGGTAAGACAGTGAGTCCTATTTCTGGATTTCGCGGTATGCTTTGGCCTTTATAGAACATACGTTGGTCTAATGAGCGCCTAGTAATGCAGCACGGTCATTACGCTGCAACAACATTTACGTTAGTGATGAAAAACCGTCAGCTAAAAGTATGTTGGAACATCCTCCACGTGAAACTTGTGTGGAAAAAAACAACAACAACAAAAAATAACGTCAGCAGTCATCGTTCTTTGCGAAAGACAAAAATTAAAAAAAAAAGAACACAAGAGGTTTAAGTGTGTTAATAGATCATTTTTAGCTATACAGCTTCCCTAAGAATCCTCACTGTATTTGACGTCCGAAGTTAATCTCTTGAACACACCTTAGGCAATAGACTGTATACAAACGCGCTATTTTCCCCTTGCGAATTGAAACAGAACTATTTATTGAAACATTGCCACTTCAGAAAGCATAAGTGGTTATGCCCAAACAGACGTTTCAAAGTAGACACCAAAAACAAAAGTCAACAACTCTAATTCAATAACATTGTTGTCTTTAACATAAACACAAAGAAACTCATTCAATACATCTAACCATATAAAGGATCCAAATATAATCTCCAGATGATACGGTAAATATTTTTTGCTTTATCTTGCAAGGCATAAGAATAAAACAAAAAACACTGTAACTTTAATGTTTAACATATTCAGTGCTACGACCAATGCGGACTTCTTAATTTACATATCTTAATTAGCTAAATTATCTTTGCAGTGCTATTATAACATCATTTCTTTCACGGATAATGTGTAATTTATAATTTTACTTATTTTCTTATATATTATTTTAGATTACAGCACCATAAAGACTGTTATGTCTTTGTCTTTATATTTCACAATATACATATTTGTTATCATATACATATGAACGGTGATATTATTTCGCCCCGTTTTATGCGTGTGTTTCTTTTTTTCATTTATTAGTCTAGAAATTCACTTCCGTACATAACAGTTACATGTTTTTACACCAAGTACACATTTAGACTTTTCGCATAACAGTTACATGTTTTTACACCGAGTACACATTTAGACTTTTCACATAACAGTCACATGTTCTTGTACAAAGTGTATACATTTAGACGTTTCACTTTCCATATGGACATGGAGTTTACATATATAAAAACTTGGCGTTTCACCTAATGAGAATCATTTGCTACAATCTTTTTCTGGCTTTTGTTAAACTAATATGTTCGCTTATAAACGTTCACATTATACATAAGCTACAAAAAAAAAAAACGTCATTGGCAAAATCGTAATGTATTACATGTTATCGTTTCATTAATGCTTATAATTAAAGCTCTAAGTGTTCTATTTGTCCATTAACTCAAAAGAAAGTCATTAAAAAGATAATGTTAAACGCATGTTCTCGTATGTTTTATAGCTATCATTAAAGTTGTGTGGTAAAATCCATGTTATTCTACAAGTCTTCATTGTCTGGAGCCACATAACATTAAATAAGCTCCTTCGGGCTCGTTTGGGTTTATTCTACGTGTTGGATAAGTATACATTTAAATCTTGCCGAAAAAGATTGCCTTCCTGAAATATAACTTTATCGTATTACGGTAACTGATATAGTTACATAAGTGCTCGCTGATATTCCATGCAGCTATTCACAAGCCCTTTTTTGATGTCACGCACATTCAAACTAATATCTTAAGAATGAATGAGCTCTTCAAGATAATGGATTTACTTTAGATATTCTAAAATGATTTTGTTGTCATTGTCCAAACACATCCGTTCCAAACAATAAACGGTTCTTTAATTTTATTCGTACACTTCTCAAAATATTCGTACTGTGATAGTTTGTTTCTGTTTTTTTCCAAAGAAAAACAAAACAATAGAACATATTAAATCTTGTAACAAACTCCACTCTCTTATTAATATTTATTTTGAGCACTCTAACTACATCAGTCATGTAGGAATACAAATTATGGAACATAATATAAATCTATTTAGACTTAAAGCTTTCTTTACGGCTCTATTTTCCAACGTATGTGTGGCACTTTCGTCGCCGAAACAAACAACTGTCAGAAATTAACGACAGACCGAAACAGCTTAAGCTTTTGTAACAAAGAGATTCATATGTTTACTATACAAGTTCCATACAAAGCACAATTTAATTTTTTGACTGCCCTTGTTCTTATCAACGACTTAGAAATGTATTTAAAATATATAGGATATGTGAATTCAGAGCAATTTGAGCGCCATCTAATGTTCAAATCGTAGAACCAGAGTTCAACAGTCCCTTCCAACCAAGTAGAACATTATACAGAGTCTATAAAAGGAATGTTTACTACAATTCTTAACAAAAACTCAGCAAGGGCCAACAAATTCTCATAGTTATGTTCCAGTAAGTAAGAATGGAATAATATGCTGCAACATTGAGCCAGCAGTATCATGCCTTAGAAACCGAACCTTTCCTCCTCCTCCAGTAACGTAAGCTACGGTATCAAGAGCCTACCACGGACATTGATCAATGTTCCCAGAAAATGATACAATAGAGGAAAACTGTCTTTTTATAACCTTTATTGAGTAGTGCAGGTAGCCTGTACTACTTCAACCAAGACCCTGACCGTCTGGCTTCGAATGGGAAATATCCATAAGTTGAATTCAAGCAGAAGACACTTAAGCCAACGAAACCTTTTGTGACAAGACACCCCTGGTTGTTCAATTGTTCATAATCACTCAGCCAAGTAACAGCACGACCAGGGGAAATTGTCGTGGTGGATGCTAGAGAGAAAGAAAAGGAAACGTTATTAACCTAGGATGTTAAAGGAAAATTCAGATATTTCCACTTTAGCAGTACACTGAAAGACAAAGTGGCTTGTAATACCTATTTAGACGGTTTACTGTCTTACTGACTCGTACTACCTATTTAAACAGTTTTCTGTCTTACTGACTAATAATAGCTATTTATATGGTTGACTGTCTTACTGACTTGAAGCCCCCCCCCCCAGTGGTACAGGTATATCTGCGAACTTACAACGTCAGAAACCGAGTTTCGATACCGATGGTGAGCAGATCATTGTGTAGCTTTGTGTTTAACTTCAGAGAACAACTCTACTGACTTGAAATACCTATTGACAATTTACTGTCTTACTGACGTAAGATGCCAGTTACGTTTGACAAAATACCAAAAATATTTGTTTTTGAGTTGGTGTATTACTAAGCAACAATTTTGTTCTTTCCAAAAAGGAGTTTGAATTATATGCTCACAAATTCTTCACAGAGCTTTAGCAAAAGACAGATTTTAAGTAATTTAGTAATGTTCCTTTTTTATCGAACATGAGCCTATTATGAGAGTATTCAGTAAATTTTTGATAGCATCCAAGGCTGAGTCGTTTCAGTCTATGAGTATTTAATGGTAGGAAATTGCAATAACTTATCACGTATAACAGGATGACAATTATTTCCCTGAAAGGGGCAAGAAGGCCGCCTGGAGGGGTCACCTGCTTTAACCACTCGCACAAACATACAGTAGAGTGTTGTCTGTCAGTCAGTTAGTAGACACTAAAATGACGTCAAATAAGGGACGCTTAACGTTGGAATTTGTACTGTTTGACGTCAGTAAAATGCGCGCGTGCCATGAATCACGAGAAGAATTATGCACTCTGTAGGCTACAACACAGCATGGCATACAAACTTCAAAAGCAAGAAATAAAAAATATTTGTTACTCTTAATTTTATTTTTATTTACTCTTGAAACAGAACATTTTCGGGGACCACACGGAAGTAATCTGGTTGTAGTTTTTGTTCAAGAAGCAGAATTTTCTTTTCGTTTACAACGGTTACTGTCTTATTGACCACAGTGGAACAAGTCATCCTATCACAGTTAAGTGGACATTCGTATCAATGCTAATTAGTGGTTAATTTAAGATCAGTAGCCTGGAGTCGGAGTGAAGCTGGCCAGAGCTAGATCAGAGCCGAGCTGGAGCAGGGGTTACTGGAGCTATAGTGGAGCTGAAAGAGGGGATCTATATAAATTTTAGGCTGGCTCTAAAGCTGAACCACTGGAGACACTCCGGAGCCGGAGTTATCAAACCTGGGACATAGAGAACCTTACTTAATAGTTTATGCCACCGGGAAACGGGAATGGAACTGTGAAACAAAGATTCTGACTGAAAGACGATGAAACATTACATATTCAAAAAAAAAGAAAAACAAAAAGAGGATGGTTAAAGTAGGTGGAGACAAAATAAAGTTTAAACACATTCATTATGTAACAGAGATTGTTCAACAGATACGTTAACAAAAGAAGGAAAACTCATTATTTCAATAATTCTATGAATCAAAGAAAATTAAACTACCTAAACGTAATTTGTCATATTGAGCTTGTGTGAGTAACTAGATTTCGGTAGAATAAAAGTGGGTTAAGAAACAAAGGTTTTTCTAGTCTGCACTTGAAAAGAAATATGTGCACGCAAGTCGTTAAAGGCGGAAAATCAAAATCACTACGTCTTGTGTGACCATAACTGGAACATTGGAGGCTCACGCATAAGGAAGCCGATGGCCTCGTTTTAAACCCTTACGTTCAGCGTGTTGAGCTTAACAAAGCACCGAATTACGTGTTATTAAATATAGCTTCGACCAAGATAGTGGTTGTCTAATAACTACTCAGTCCCATGAAGCGCAGAGAAACTGTTTGGTCAAGAGAAAGAGAAACTCGCGAAAAAACGTTCTGCACTTGTATTCAAGCATGGAAATCTTATGTGACTGAACATGCTTATGCATGCAATCTTTAAAATATTATGTTCAACAGACTTGATTGTTTTGGTTAATGACTTTGGTGAAGGAAA